TTTTTTTTTTTTTGTTTCCGGAGTGAAAAATTCCCGCGGGGTTTTTTTTTAGGGATGGGAATTGCTGAGGGATGGTTGTGGTGATGTTAATTGATTAATTAATTAATTAGTCCTATTAATGACCCTAATTAACCCATCAAAGACCCCAATGACCCCATTAATGACCCCAATTACCCCATTAATGACCCCAATTACCCCATTAATGACTCTAATTATCTCCGTAATGAGCCCAGTTACCTCCATTAATGATTCTAATTACCTCATTAACGATTCTAATTACCCCATTAATGACCCCATTTCCCCATTAATGACTCTAATTACCCCATTAATGACCCCAATTACCCCATTAATGATTCTAATTACCCCATTAACGAGTCTAATTACCCCATTAACGAGTCTAATTACCCCATTAATTACCCCATTTCCCCATTAATGACTCTAATTACCCCATTAATCACCTCAATTACCCCATTAATCACCTCAATTACCCCATTACTGACGCCTATTACTCCGTTAATGACCCCAATTACCCCATTAATGATTCTAATTACCCATTAATGACTCTAATTATCTCAGTAATGACCTAATTACCCCACTAATAACCCCAATTAACGGATTAATTAACCCTTTCAGGTTCAGAACATCTCCCAATCCCTGGAGCTGCTGGATCTCTGTGTCATTAACCCAAATAATTCCAATTTTAACCCCAAAAAATCCCAATTTAACCCCACTAACGACCCTAATTAGCTCACTAACGACCCCAATTAACGGATTAATTAACCCTTTCAGGTTCAGAACATCTCTCAGTCTCTGGAGCTCCTTGATCTCTGTGTCATTAACCCCAATAATTGCAATTTTAACCCAAATAATTCCAATTTTAAGCCCGTTAATGACTCTAATTATCTCAGTAATGACCTAATTACCCCACTAATGACTCCAATTAACGGATTAATTAACCCTTTCAGGTTCAGAACATCTCTCAGTCCCTGCAGCTCCTGGATCTCCGTGTCATTAACCCCAATAAATCTCTAATTAATTCCAATTTTAACGCAAATAACGCCTCAATTACCCCGCTAACGACCCTAATTAGCTCACTAACGACCCCAATTAACGGGTTAATTAACCCTTTCAGGTTCAGAACATCTCCCAATCCCTGGAGCTGCTGGATCTCCGTGTCATTAACCCAAATAATTCCAATTTTAACCTCAATAATTCCAATTTTAACCCAAATAACGCCTCAATTACCGCGCTAACGACTCTAATTAGCTCACTAACGACCCCAATTAACGGGTTAATTAACCCTTTCAGGTTCAGAACATCTCCCAATCCCTGGAGCTGCTGGATCTCCGCACTGTGCGGGATCTCTCCTACGTGCGGGGTTCGGAGTCGCTGCTGTCGGGGTTGAGCTCGAGGCTCCGAGCGGCCCCCGAGGGGCTCAACCCCCGCAGCTTCCAGGTCTGGCCTCCCCTTTTATTCCCCCAAAAAATCACCTTTTATTCCTCAAAAATCATCTTTAATTTCCCCCCGAAATCACCTTTTATTCCCCCAAAAAATCATCTTTTATTTCCCAAAAAATCATCTTTAATTTCCCCCCGAAATCACCTTTTATTCCCCCAAAAAATCACCTTTTATTCCCCCAAAAATCATCTTTAATTTCCTCCAGAAATCACCTTTTATTCCCCAAAAAATCATCTTTAATTTCCTCCAAAATCACCTTTTATTCCTCTAAAAAAATCATCTTTTGTTCTCAAAAAAATCACCTTTTATTCCCTTTTTATCCCCCCAAAAAATCACCTTTTATTCCCCAAAAAATCACCTTTTTCCCCCCCAATTCTCCCCCATTTTTCCCCCATTATCCTCAATTTTCTCCCCTTTTTTCCCCCATTTTTCCCAATTTCCCCCCCCATTTTCCCCCATTATTCCCAATTTTTCCCCCATTTCTCCCCATTTTTCCCCAATTTTCCCCCAATTTTTCCTCATTTTTCCCCCCATTTTTCCCCAATTTCCCCCCAATTTTCCTCCCATTTTCCCCCTATTATTCCCAGTTTTTTCCCCAATTTTCTACCATTTTTCCCCAATTTTCTACCATTTTCCCCCATTTTTCCCCCTTTATCCCCAATTTTCTACCATTTTTCCTCATTTTTCCCCCCATTATTCCCAATTTCCCCCCCCATTTTTTCCCA